CCCACGCCTGAGAAACTGATAGTCCTTGAAACAATTGTCTTTAAAAATCCACGCCTGTGACTCTGATAGTCCTAGGAAATCAAAATTCCTAGGTATCGAATAGTCTGATTTCGCTATTAAAAAATTTTGGAAACCAACTCTGCGTTACCATTTACCTCATTTCCTCCACCACCTCTGCCTTGTATCTCTGGAACATATATAAATTATAAAAATAATCAAAATGAATATTAAATTTAATGTTGCCACTGTGTATAATTGTAATTTCTCTACTATTGGGCCTAATCAGAAAAAAACACAACATTCTCTACAAATACGATTATTCCGCTAAATTAAAGAGTGTTACATACAAATAGGAGATTTTATCGAATAAATCAAGAGCAAATATTGTGGACGGGACATGCTGCATAATAATCCACCATTGACAAATGGATGAGAATGATGTTACCGAGGGGTATTCTACAAGTTTTCAAGGTCTGCAAAGGGCTAGTATTTTTAGGGCTTAGTATTTAAGGTCTAAAAAAAGTCGTGGATTTTAAAAAAAAAATAAATTTTCAAAGGCTTTGTAGGGCGTGTATTTTTTAAAGGATATTTTCCATGGTCCATAAAATTCATGGATTTATTAAAGAATATTTTTCAAGGGCCAACTGAGGCGTAGATTTATTAAATAATATTTTTTCAAGGGCCAACTGAGGCGTGGATTTATAAAAGAATATTTGTTCATGGTCTATAAAAAGCATAGATTTTTTAAAGAATATTTGTTCATGGTCTATAAAAAGAGGTGAATTTATTAAAGAATATTTTTTCATGGTCTTTATTTCTTATAACACATTTTCAAACTTCCATTAATACCCACGCACTCTAATTACATTATTCATTTATTCAGATTTTAAACGAATTTTTAATTGAACGCACACACACACACACACTAATGCATAATTTTATAGAGTATTGCATATATAGACACATTATTGCGTAAATACATACATTATGTATATGTGTAATTTCATCTAAATATGTACGATATATGAATAATATACACACACTCTCATATTCCACATGAAATATATAACTATATATATATTATAAGTCCATAATTGCAATGGTCCGAATCGAACCGAATAGACTATCACTGCTCTGTGAAATAATTTTTGCAACAAAATCCTGGTCGTTGTTGCATTACTGATGTGCCCAGCTTTTGTGTAGAAATAGCCACAGCTGATATAATCGAGTTGAGGGGAAGGGGGCAACCTTTGGGATCACATTAGACATTAACTACATACGAGTATGTAGTATGCAATGTCTACTGCATAATAGGTACGGACATTTATGCAAGTGGCATTCGTGCATGAATTCACATCGACATTTCGTTCAGCGTTGTGGCTTAAAGTGATTGCGTCAATGCACCTCCATTGCGCTTTATGTAAATTTGCAGAATAGAAATGAATTCAAATTACAATCAGGCCATCTAAAAATGTAATTCGCTCACACACAAATATACTGGATGAAAAGGAATCATTAGCTATAACGGAGAGGTCATTGATGATGTCGACACCTATGCATAAATAATGAGCGCCTATGAATGCAGCAAAGAAAGGCATTAATGGTAACTGCATGAATGTCATTTGTATTGAGAATTGTCGTTGGGTGATCATAAATGCGGTTGTCATTAGTTTCGATTGTAGCTTATAATATTAGTTAAATTATTGCCTTCTAAAACTTGTCCATTGATTTTTTTAATGGTTAAAGTTTGTTTCTGAATGGAAAGATAGCTGTCCATGACCTAAAGATGTAGGGCTGATATTCTAGCAAAAGAATGACCTTCTAATCATAATTTAATATTTTAAATATCTAAAGGGACTCGATCTTTACATGGGTCTAAAGAAAATTCATGGATTTAAAAAAAATGTGTCAAACTATATGAAGACGTGAAATTTTTAATTTTTATATAGTCAAATTTGCCTTACACAGCCTACAATAGGCGTGGAGATTTTAAAGTATATTTTTCAGGGTCTATAAAATGCATTGAGTTTTTAAAGAACGTGTTAAAGGTCTATAAAAGTGTGGAGTTTTTTAAACCCATTTTGTTAAAGGTCTGTAAAAGGCTTGCGTTATTGAATACTTTAAGCTTTGTAATAATTTGTATTTGAGTTTAGCCTGTCCTGGTAGCTCGATCACGTCCATGAATAATGAAAATATTGAAGCAGTGAGGAGCTTCGTGCTGCGTCAATGCAGACCTCAGCGAGTCCTCGTCATCATCATGGTCCACGTCATCATCATCGTTGTCTTTGAATTACGTTACTCCCACGCAATCTCTGCAACAGCAATCCGCGACTAAGCCACTTACACCGTACATTGCTGTCACAACTCATAATAATGTCTAATTTCACCAATTCAATTGCAATTCATTTCGAGAGAAAATCAACCAGATCGCGAATTTCATGAGTCGCAGATGTATTATCGCCGCGGCTATCCAGCTGAACAGCACATGCAGTCTGCAGAGTTGTGATGGATACAACGTCTTAATGAAGGATCGTTAGTATTCCTATTGTACCATTCTGGCATTCCGTTCTATATAATGACCAGAGGGGCATAGCGCTGGTAGAGTAAATAGATAATTCAACGTTTTGCACGGTGAACGAGAACACCATGATGAGGGGAGACTGTCAAAGCTTTCCAGACGCAAAGCTCCAGATCAAAGCTTTCGTGCCGCTTGTTCTGTCAAATAACGTGGTTTGGCAACCCGTCATTTCATTGGAGTCAGATCACCTCACTATTATCATATAGATCCGTCTTCATAACATCTGAACGCCGTACTTTCCTAAACCATAGGAAATCCAATTTGTAATCCAGAAATTTCACTTCCCAGCAGAGGCAGCGAGATTAGCGTGATGAGCCTACTAACCCCAGAATCAGAGAACTGGCGATGTAAGTGAATACTTTAGTCGGTAAGCACAAGCGAAACAAGTGCCTAGAACATCTGAAGGAATGATAATCGGGCGTCTGTCTCATTAAACGGCATTGAGGCGACAGATCCGAAAAGGTGAGCGAATTGTTTAAACCCGAAAATTGTAGAGCACCCCGAGAGTGAAAGGGCGAAGATAAGAGTATTGAGCCGTATACGACATCTTCAATTGGAGGAGGAACCACTACAATTTACGTTTGAAGGATGTTGGGAGTGCTACTAGAATCGCAAAATCATCCCAGGCGCTTGGTCTGGAAGGAATCTCCATGGTCATGTTGAAGCAGCTTGATGAGCCAGGAGTAGAGTACCTAACTAAAGTTCTCAACTTGACATTAACCACCCTAATACTAGTTCACGATGCCTGGAAAATGGCACAGTGGTCCCGCTACTAAAGTCAGGCTATGATGCCTGCAAGGGGTAGTCATACAGGCCGATCTCACTTTTGTCGCTAGTAGCTAGCATTTCATACCGTCAGTCACGCCATGCTGTTCGAGGACGTGGAAAGTACAATCCTGCAAGATTGAAACGTTGGATCTTAAATTATATGTGTACGTATATACATGGATTTCAGAAATAGGAATTCAAAGGCCCATAGGGTCAAACTGTAATGGCATAAAGGCCGTAACGTACATGGATGATTGTACGATCATGGCGTCAGGGCCGAAAACTGATGACATTTGCGAGAGGCTGAACAACTATCTCGTGTATATAGATGATTTTTTTCTGGGCGAGGATATGGAAATATCTGCCACTAATTCAACGACCACACTGTTTACCATATGGACAGCGGAGATGCGGCTATATTTCAATATGCAGTTCGATGGTTCCACAATTCCGACTATCAATTACCCCAAGGTTCTAGGGGTCACATTCGATAGCCTATATAAATCGTTCGATCATGCCACAACTATTTACCATAAGATCAAGAGCAGGAACAGGAGACGAAGATCCTTCTTTTTCCTAAACACAACAAGATGTTATCGATGTTTGGGTGTTATAGAAGTTGCCATAAAAATCATCGCCTTATGGATCACCCGCCTACGATAGCAGCAGCTACCACGACAAACAAGAGAGGCCTTGGTACAATTAAAATATACCAGACTACAAATCAAAGGATGCCGGATTCAAATCCAAAGAATTTAAAGTTATTTTCAAATATTTGTAAAAAAAAGACTTACATTCCTCTCCAGAAGAAATGCATCCCAAGTCCCTGACATTGTAATTATCAACCAGAGACTACGTTGGCTTGGACATGTTGTGAGAATAGATGAGAATGCCCCAGCACAAAAGATGAAGTGGAAGACAAAATTTCTAAGCATGGTATTTCAAATTTGGAAGAGCTGCGCGCAAGACCGAAGCGCTTGGAAATCTTTTTTAAGCTCGGCTTATAGAACAAATGTTCTGTCTCAAGCCAGCGAAGTAAATAAGTAAGATAATTCAAAATACCAAGTTATAGCTGATTATATTGAAGAGCGTGCTCCAGAACATAGAATATTTGAAATTCCAATATAAGAGGACCAACCTCCTCAAAATTAATCGATATATTCAATTTTAAATACCAAACATCCTAGTAGTAGTAGCTTTGTAAAAGTCCTATGCTCCTATGAATATCAGGACAGGGTAGATCTTGGCATATCCGAATTGTAAACCCAATTATCGTAAGATTATTTGGGTGTGTTAAAAATATTCTTTAAGGTTATTATGGAAAATTTACTCAAAAATATAGTAAATTGCAAGCTACTATTTTCCTATTTGATATCTTGTAAAATAAACTCAAAGCTTAAATTTCAATCTGTGCAATTTTAAACAGAATACAAACTCTCTTTTACGACATTTTGTTCATATTGTTAATTTCTAAATAGTCTTTTTTATCCAATTATCCACATTAGTTCAAATAATATCATTAAACCAAGCGCTATATACATACATCTATATGCAGACATCCCTTACTCTACTTAAACGTTCAATAATGTCAAACCACCACTTATATACATTTCGTTTTTAATATTCTTCCGTTCTATACATTTTTTTATTTCAGGACCACCATATGTGCGAGCCATTGGACCCATTAAAGCTGTCGCCGGCGAAGATGTAACAGTACATTGTCCGTTTTCCGGCTATCCAATAGAACAAATTAGATGGGAGCAAGGACATCATGAACTGACAACAAGTAAGACAAATTGCCAATGTTAGCTAGCTAGACATCGATAGAAAATGGACATCGAAAAAAAACAACAACTACAACAAAAATCGATGAACATTCAAACAACAAATATGCAAATTGTATATGTTCAATGGGAACGTGGAGTCATGTAAAAGTTTTCAGATTTCCAAAAATTGAGGGATATTGGAAATATAAAAATAAAATAAAATTTTACTCTGTTGTAGGAATTTAAAAAATTGCGATTTTAAAAATATTTTTCTTAAGGTTTTTGTTTTTGTAGGGCAACCCCTAAATTCTGGCAAAATTCTGTAGGTTCTGAAATACTGCATTTATTAATTACGAATTATAATTTCTAACAATTTTAAAATTGAATCTAAAATTGCACCAGAATTTCGATACCTAATACATAATTTTGAATTTTATTTCATTAACTTTTGCCTACCTCCACGTTCGTCGAACATGCAAAAAATTGCCAGTACATTCAATCCATATGTGTCCAGTATATGGATGTAAACTTTATAACAACCTAAATGGTTATTTCTTCTATATACAACTATCGTTTTGTTGCTGTTGTTGTAGTGTACGTCCCTTAACAAGATTTTTGTTTTTCATTTTTTTGGTGCATTTATGCTCTGTTGCAGATTCCCATTACTCTTTAGCACCCGTCCAACAGGGAGGATATCTTGTCATCAAGAATGTTGAACCGACTCGTGACCAGGGCATCTACACCTGTATTGTTAAAGTTCGCACGGGAGAGGAAGCACGACGTGATATTCAATTGAATGTCAATAGTAAGTATTCTATGTACGATTTTTTTTGTATACCTAACCTACCATCCCTCCACCTGCCCCTCAACCACCCCCCATTAAAAACGGAAACAACCATCGTCATGTAGATATGACGATGATGTTTCCATTCAACATTATTTGAAATTCAATGACTCAATTTTATCTCAGTTTTACTTCCTAAGGGAATATTTTGAGCTTGTTAACAATTGGGAACACCGTTATATGACAAAACTGTAGATATAGGTGTATATAAGTGTGTCTGTGTGTAGGTTTGTGCGAACTTCTGACTGTACAATTGACATAAATTTGAAAATGTGTGTGTGTGTGTGATTCATAGAATAGCTTGTCCGAACGAACGAAAACATCTAAGGTGAACTAGATTTGCACAGATCAAACGATTTATGCACCTTACACATGGGTGGATTTAAATAACAAAAAAAGTGTTGTAGTCTCAACTCGATGACATCTGGGAAATAAATTTGGGCTATTGGTTCATGACAATTACACAAAATATCTTGAATACGTGGGAATCAGAAAACACATGAAATCAGACTATTAAAACATGAATATATATATATAATATATATATATATATATATATAAAAGCTGAAACTTGTAAATCTCGTGCCTCGCGGATTTGTCTATTTCATCCAAACTTTGCACATCTTAATATTTGTTCCAAATTTAGTTCAATTTCGAAAATGGGGAATATCGGTCCACTCCTTACGGACCTCCCCCATAAGATGATCAAAATGAAAAAAATGTTATATTATCATGCGTACGGACTATCCGATTTGAAACAAACTTTCCACAACCTATTATTTTTTCCTTGCCTAGATCAAGTTCGAATGAGGGACTAATTGCTCCACCCCATATGGTACCTCCCCCACAAAGAGTCAAATTTGTTCATGTACATAAATTCAATATTAGGCGAAAGGGAAGTCAGATTTGAACCAACATTTGCCCACCCCATCTGGTACCTCCCACACAAAGGGTTAATATTTTATTAACTTGTAAATTTAATTTGAAGCGAATTAAATAGCCGTATTGATCAATATAAATTCCGACATTTTTTACTTTTTGTGCGATTTTTCACATTTGGTTTTATATCTAGATATTAATTCAAGCGACAATATATGACAGGAATATGGTCAACAGAAAAACAAGTAACACTACTTAAAACTCCGTTTGGATTGAATGAATTTTTCACATGTATATGGCCTCACAAATGGTATGCTTTTTATATATTTTTTAGGAAGATAAAATTGGTTCAATTTTGATGGCATGTGGAGAAGTCATCCAACCCAAATGGGGATTTTATGAAGAATTGTTTGATTTTCCTTGGGCTATCTTTCAGTCATATATTATTAGTCGAACAGTAAGTTGTAAACCCAGTACGAACAGATATTCATCTGATGTAGGTATTTCCTCCAATAGAATGTAATCCATGCACAGCTGACCATAAAAATGTTTGTTCTTGTTGATAATCGCTCAAAAAAGGAAAACGTAGTACAAACCTACTGACCCTCAGGTTGAAAAATTGGGATACAAAGGTAGTCTAGAGGTATTAATCACTCCATTGCTATTATTTTAAATGACGCTGCACAGTGTCACGAGTTCATATTAACGGTGGCCAAAATAGGAGTCATCATAGGTGGATGATATTTTGTACAAGTGCTTGTCGTTGGCCTAAAAGCAAGTAACAAGAAATTGGTTATAGTTGCTCTAGACGTCACAATTATATCAGATACAACGGGTCTTAATAATTTAACACTTTTGGCCTATAAAATCGGTAATGCTTAACCAAATTCGATGAAAATTTTGAACTTATTCCATATTGGGCATAGAAAACAATTGACAAAAACTCTATAGATGGGACCAACATTTGGTGATAATTTTCAGCTTAGTTCTAATTATGCCTATAATACAAATGACAGAAAACTCGATAGATGGAACCAAAATTTGGTATACCTCTTGAAAATATCACACCTTTGGCGTATAAAATTTTTAGTGTTCGTCCAAATTCAATGAAAATTGAAAGTTTACTTCCAATAAGAACAATGACAGCAACAACTGTTAAAAATTTGCTGTTGATAGCCAGAAAATATACTCAGTCATAGACAGAAGCTAGGTATTCAGACATTTTGAAAAGAGAGGCCATATTCTGAAATGATCCCTACAGTCATCTTAACTCTTTCCTAAACATAGAAATACTAAAAAGAGCACCAATATTGCCAATTTTGGTAGGGAAATGGAATCAACATGAGAAACCAAAATTACAAGTTACATTTGGTTAAAAAAGTACACAAAATACCCAATATTGTGTAATGGCTTAGGTGGGCTAAACCAAAGCTTTGACCTATACATCCCACATTCAATGTCAAACATCCGAGAATTAGCAGAAATGTATATGCAACAAGTCAAAGTTGTATATCGTGATTTCAACGGACATACAAATATATAGACGGGCATGACTAGGTCGACAAAGAATTTTATTCTGATCTTTATGGCGTATCACATGAATAGATCGAAGTGTATTGACTAATTTAATATCCACTCGACCTTATAGTTTTGGGTATAAAAATATGATTGCAGTGCTGTAAAAACATAGGCATGACTTCGAAACAAACCTTTAATCAACCACTTGTGTCTCCGAAGACGAACCAATCGGTCCTCGGCAAAACTTGTAATTTGGTGACTGTTCCGCTTAAGCAACTTCGGATATATTTGAAAACTCAGCCAGAGACAATGATAATTCTCACACATCGGCTCAACCCGGCAGCTTTTTGATCGATCAAAGCGGGTGAATCGCTGTACGCCACTGTCGGGGCGCCCAATTAATTATTTTTATATCTTACACATATATGTTGTCAGAGCATTATAGCTTTATGTGGCCCCAAGAGTTGGTCTAGACCCACCATTTAGTATACTGATTGTTATATATGGACTAGCTGAGTCGATCGAGACATGCGTGTCCGTCCATCCGTTTGTAATTTGAAAACACGATACAGCCCACAGTTATGGACTAATCGAAATTTTGCATGTAGTACGTGTTCTGGCCAAAGAAATCCCCTATTATTTTTGGTAATGATCCGTTAATGTTTAGGGGATGAAATGGACTAAAATTTGTAGTTTTTTACTCTCACAAATATGTCCGAGAAGTTTTACACCAAGAAAGGGTCTAACCATAGAATAGGCATAACTGTTTTGGTGTAGGTCGGTCAATATACAGCGCGTCAAATAGACCCACACTTTTGTGTGAAAAATGACAAAATGTATATTCTATGGCCTATATATTTAATCCTGAGGGACATAGAGCCGAGAAGTTGATAGTGTATGTATTGGTCTACCTACTCGGATCTGGGTGTTTTACTTAGATGTGTGTTTCACGTATTCTGATATTGTTTAGCATAACATTCATCACACTAGAGAGCAGAGAGGCAACAATTAACTTGAATGGCTGTCTTAATATATAACGGGTCAATTGTATAAAATAACAAATTTTGTTGAGTACATTTTTACTCCGGGAAAAATGATTCGGAAAACATGCCGCGTAGGAGCTGCTAACCCCTAATCACTCAATATAGTGCAAATATCGCAAAATGCTTCCCAGGCTCGGAATACTGATCCGCAGAAATATCGAGCTTAGTTGTAGTTGTCGGTCCGTTCGACTACATTGCTCCGCTCACTGGTTATTTATTAAGAAGAAAAATAAAATTGAGACCAACGTTTTCTTTTCCAAAAAAATAATAATAATAATGATACCTCAAGCGGAATGGACAAAATGCTTCGGCAATTGCGCATGTAAGATTATATACACCATGCTGATAAGTTTTTAAAGAATTGCTTATCATTCGTAAATGTTGCTTTTGATGTCTGTTGCGCAATAGATACGTAGAGGCTCTATGTAAACAATTTTCCTGAAGTTATCTTCTTCGAGTCTACCCTACTATGAGTAGAAACATGTGTTTTTATTGATATGCTTATTGGCGTCTTCGATATTATCAACGTCGTAAGACTAATTAATGAACACTCATTATGATAATGGAAATTACCTTTATTCTCTACTCCTACTGCGTGAATTGAAACATATCGTTCTAGCCCAACAATAAATATTACAGTCCTGAACGTGAAATAAAATGTTCACCGAACTAATTTCTCAATAAGCCAATTGTTACGGGTGGTGCGTGGCATTTGGCACCGTCTTGTCGAAACTATATGTCATGGAATTCAAACTCTTGCATTTTAGGCAAACTCCATTCGTAGCTTTTACAATGTCTGGATGGTCTTCACTCCAAAATCGACAATTCTTCTTATTTATGTAGCTATTAAGCTAAACACGAGGTTCTTCGTCGCTGAACACTTTTTTCGATGTACAAATTTAACTTCGGCTTCCTTTTTAAGTTGGTGGGTCATTTGGCTGTAATTCTTGCACCAGCTAATCCTTCCGCAATATTACCCACATTTCGAACGGCGACAAATCGATAATTTATTGTCATCATTAACTCTGAGCTATAAAGCTCCGATATTTTCTTCAGTCCGCACTCTACGTAAGCGTGTTGGTGATTTAATGACCAACAATGTAAATTTGATGTGAATATCCGGTTCAGTCGGTCGATGAAACTGATCATAAAATTAAGTAACTCACGACGTACTTCCTTTTAATATTTTACACCATATGCAAGGTCAATTTCATCCGCTATATGTTGACCGTATACCGACATACGGAATATTCGTGACTATCGATTATAACTTATAATTAACTGATGGTCGGACAAGCTTCACATTTGACCCATAAAACGTTTTGCATCAATTTAACACTCCGCTTACTTGGTCGACCATATTATTTTTTCATTTGTAAAAATGTCAAACTTATAAAATTATTTGTTATTTTTCTTTAGAGAGCATGGAAGGTGAACGTTAATATAAAAATTGTATCGAAACCTTAAATTTCATATATTGTTTGAGTTACCCATACTTGATCCCCAAATTAAAAATCAATTTTCTACAATTTTCGAGACTATTTACACATTATTATTATTGCATTTTTCAATGTTCCATTATTATATCATCTATTTTTTTTATTTTGCAGGCCCTCCAGTTATCGAACCATTTAAGTTTCCCAAAAACCTGCAAGAAGGTGGAAGGGCACAAATCACATGTGCCGTATCCTCGGGTGATATGCCCATATTTTTCAGTTGGAAAAAGGATGACATGTCTATACCATCAAGTCTACAGGTAAGTGATAATCTTTTGAATGGCCAACAAGGGAGAGAGAACAAGGGAGGGAGAATTAAGAAGAAATCCCGAAAACAGACAAGAAAATATTATCAAAAAATGGAAGGAAGGAAGACTTACCGACCATAGCGTTGAAAACGAATAAGAGAAATCACATACTTATTCATTTCTAATAACACACACAATTTAATACATTATCCTTTGGGGCACTAATATAAATGTGTAGGTCGGTCTCGCCCTCACTCAATATCCTGCCGTTGGGTCTTTTGTATCAAAGTTGTTTTTTTTTTTTTGGTTACAAGGCAAAGGGATATCAGTATATTTTTAAACGTGTGTGTGCGGATCTGAATTTTATTCTTGTTATGCCAGACAAATAGTAACAAAAACATGAAAATACTTCGACACAATGAAAAGTCTTTAGCTGCAGACATAAAAAGGATTTCGGTTCCTCTTCTGCTTCTTTTTTGTGTCTGTTTAAAAAATCTTCGGATATACACCGTTGTTGGGTTTTTAAAGTAATCTATGGTTTTATGGTTTATTTTTGTTCCCATCTTTTTTTGTTTTCAATTAACAAAAGATTTCCGAGAAAAAGGAGGAGTTTTATTCGTTGCTTGTTTTTAAGGACATCAGTGCTAAGCACAGTGGCAAATACACCTGTTATGCCAGCAATGCTGCTGCCAAGGTTAACTACACAGCTGAATTACAAGTTAGAGGTGAGTTGAAAATCTTGTTTTGCATTCGACAAAAGTCGTCGTTATTTATTGGTATATTGAAACTGTAATTTTATCAAGTAATCAAATTAATTGAATTAAGTGGCAATCTATGTTGTATACTGGGGAAATCCATTGGATATCGAAGATATCAGATAAGTTGAAAAGCATCTACCATAAGGTGCAGTGTATTTATTTCAAGTATATATTTTCTTGATCAGATTACGATTACTACTAATCGTAATCTTCTACGATCATTATTATTGAACATTTGTTGTGCTATAACCCTATGGTTCTACCCAATACTTTGTATTTTGTACACATTTCCTTTAATTTAGTAATATGGGCAATATTGCCAATTTTTTAATATTCCATTTTCAAAAAATCAGCTTTTTTTGTTTTTGTGGCACATCAATGATTTTTGGTACACATTGAGAAAAATGTTCTGACTCCGAAACCGTTCGCGATCAAATTTTTGGTTGATGCGCGCAAAAGTTATCGAGGTTTTAATTTTGGGTATAAGAAAAAATCTTAAAATTACGCCGTTTATTATATTGACCAAAAACGTTGATATAGATCTTCCTCCGTAAAATAAGAATATGAATATATTATAATAATCGCGATAATGTTGCACATATTCGCGAAATATGAGAAAAAAATATAGCACATTACATCAATATTTTCATTATATTAATGACATACACACACCTAAAAATTAATTTAAAAATATCTACACAATCTAAACATGATGGTGAATCAAATGATATCAAAATCACACAAGTCCGTGTAGCGGTTTCTAAATCAAATCGACAACAAAACAAGATATTGAGGAAAAATATTTGTTTTTGGTTCGAAAAAATAATGTCATCATATTTATTTTTATACCCTTCACCACACTGTGGTACAGGGTATTATGTCTTTGTGCATATGTTTGTAACAGGCAAAAGGAAACGAGATAGACCCATAGTTCCTTTTGAGAATATGCATAGAATCACTTTCTGAGTCGATTTATGCATGTCCGTCTGTCCGTCTGTCCGTCTGTTGGTGTTAAATTGTAAACAAAGTACAGGTCGCATTTATAATCCGATTTAGATGAAATTTGGCATAGGTCACGTATTCGGCCCAAGGACGAACCCTATTGAAATTGGGAAAAATCGGTTCAGATTTAGATATAGCTCCCATATATATATTTAACCGATTTAATGTAAACGGTCCCTATATATCTTTCGATTTGCACGAAATTTGGTACAGCCTAATCAATTAGGTCTAGAATGATGTCTGCCAAGTTTCGTGAAAATCGGTCCAGATTTAGATATAGCTCCCATATATAGTTTCGTCCGATTTCAGGTAAATGGTGCACCAAAGTCCCTATATATCTTTCGATTTGCACCAAATTTGGCATGACGTACTGAATTGAGCATAGAATTATGTCTGCCAAGTTTCGAAAAAATCGGTCCAGATTTAGATATAGCTCCCATGTATAGTTTCGTCCGATTTCATGTAAATGGTGCCCCAAAGTCCCTATATATCTTTCGATTTGCACGAAATTTGGCATAACGTACTGAATTGAGCCTTGAATGATGTCTGCCAAGTTTCGAGAAAATCGGTCCAGATTTAGATATAGCTCCCATATATAGTTTCGTCCGATTTCATGTAAATGGTGGACCAAAGTCGCTATATATCTTTCGATTTGCACGAAATTTGGTACAGCCTAATCAATTAGGTCTAGAATGATGTCTGCCAAGTTTCGTGAAAATCGGTTCAGATTTAGATATAGCTCCCATATATAGTTTCGTCCGATTTCGTGTAAATGGTGCTCCAAAGTCCCTATATATCTTTCGATTTGCACGAAATTTGGCATAACGTACTTAATTGAGCCTAGAATTATGTCTGCCAAGTTTCGTGAAAATCGGTCTAGATTTCTATATAGCTCCCATATAGTTTCGTCCGATTTCATGTAAATGGTGGACCAAAGTCGCTTTATATATCTTTCGATTTGCACGAAATTTGACAGACATAGCCCAACAGATGACCTATTTATATTTGTTTGAAGTCGATTTACATACTTTATGGATAGATCTAGGTAGATTCACATTTAGATAAATATCACATATTTTATTTCATCCAATTTCATGTTAATAGTCCTGTTTAATATACCCATAGTGGTGAAGGGTATCATATAGTCGGCCCCGTCCGACTTTACTACTTTCCTTACTGGTTTTAATTGTATACAAGAAATTTCAGAAAAAAATGTTGGTGTTATTCTGCTATTTTACCCGAATTTCGCCGAAAAAATTGACATATATAATAATAATCACTTTTTGTGTATAAGTATACGCCTTGCGGATTATATCAAGACCCTTCCGATAAATCTTAGAAATCTATAAATAGGAATAAATCTTAAAATAAAATAATATTATGAAATATACATTTTAAATTGCGTGTAAATCGCGTAATTCTCAGAATCATTTGATGCGCATGCGGTTTCCGGGAAGTACAGAAGTTTATCTTCCAATCCATATATATTTTGCGAAATTTCATTTGACGGCTAAGATGTGCCACACGTTACATTGAAGTACCCAAAAAATCGTAAAACGCGAATAATTTCCGAAAACTCCATATGCCGTTAACGCGCATCCGATTTCGGTGTGCACCCTAAAAAAATATATCGATCTATACCGATTTCAATGTGGTCCATTAAGAACCATGGATGTGCCAGCTCACACTATTTTTGAGATAAATTGCGTCTAAATCGCGTAATTATCAAAATCGTTTGTTGCGCATGCGGTTTCAAGGAAGTACTGAAGTTTATCTTCCAATCCATGAATATTTTTCGAAATTTCATTTGACGGCTAAGATGTGCCACATGTTGCATTGATGTACCCAAAAAATAGTAAAACGCGAATAATTTCCGAAAACTCCATATGCCATTAACGCGCATCCGATTTCGGTATGCACCCTAAAAAAATACATCGATCTATACCGATTTCAATGTGGTCCATTAAGAACCATGGATGTGCCAGCACAATCTATTTTTGAGATAAATTGCGTACATCTCTCTTTCGGCTGAAGTGTTTAAAGTTCTCTTTTTGAAAAAGATCAAAATTCGTATGAGGTCATTTATTGAAGCGGAAATGATACACAGAAAACGCAAATAAATCCGCGATATTTTCAAAAACATTTTTTGCCAAATTTCGTGTTTTTGGAAGGCCAGTTCCCACCGTTCTAGTAGATGGATTTTCACGAAGAAGATTTTATATCATCCGAAACGTAAACAACCTTATTGATCGCGGGTACTCATATCATTCAGTTGACAGATCTAAACATTTGGCCCGAAAAATAGGTTTTTTAGAAATTTGATCGCACAAAATTCGGACCTTCGGATGAGTATTACTCTGAAGCTGTGCATACTACATACACAAAATACATATCAAATTACGCAGATTCGCGACTACAATAATCTTATAATCGATTTTTATAAATTCCTGTTTACGTATTAAAACTAGAAGTAAAATTAAAAAAAAAAACACTCAAAATCGAGCTTCAAAATGTCAGCATCATTTAAAGGTAGATGCAGTTAAAATTTTGAAAAATGATACATAAGGGGCGTAGTCCCCATTTCGTTGGCTTCTAGTTTTATTTTGATACGAAGACCGTGCAATGAGTGGCTTAGTCACAAATCGATAGAGAACATAAAAAAACTGGTTCGCCTCAACCTGCTTTTACACATTTTTTTACATTAAAGTAGACACGAGGGATGGTCCGTATGACGAATTTTAAGGATTTCGACTGTCAAAAAGGTGTAAACGTCGAAAACGTCATATACCTGTATAAAATGTAATAAATGTAGTAAACGTCATTTATTTGAATATTATTACCATATAGAGTTATTTTCAGGAATATACATTATGTTTACATATATATGAGTATTCCTTACTAGAACTTATTAAAAAATTGTAAACTTTTTGGAGAATAAAATTTGAAATTTGATATGGATTTCAGTAAAGCATACGGAATTTCCAAATTGATTAATGGAAATAGCTATTTTGTCAAAAACCTAATGGTTTTGCGTGGGTTTCCGACGTTTCTGACGTATGTATTATACGTTGGAAATGTATGTCATTTACGTCACTGCTTCTGACGGATCATCTCTGGTAGACACAGCTTCCACCAAAATAAAGTTTGGAGGTCAATATCATGAACAGTTTGCAACGGCAGATCAGTTAACACAAAACTATTCACTTTTTTTCATATACTTAAGTAGTTCCCGAGTTATAAAGGGGTGAACCTGCGCTTCAGCTATGTTAAAAAATTGGCAATATTGCCCATATATCAATATTACTCTACTTTTTAGATTCCTGAAGTTTATAGAGTTTGGGTACATGTATCACCCATGTTGTCGGTAATTTTATATATTGGATTCTCGTTAGGAAGAACATCTCCCTCCATTTATATCAATATTGTCACATATTTCGGAGTAGCCCCTATCGAATGGTACCTCTCACCCAATAAGTGATCAGTACCGTTCCAAGATTTAGAATTTCCAAAATTTCAGTATTTTCAGAATGTCATATACGTTTTTAACCAAACTGAATGTACTTATATATTTGTGGAACTGATAGAGTGCCAAATCTTTCTTTCAAAAAATTAGCAATAACGGTCCATGAGTATATAATCGCACTCCTAAATTTAGGTTTTTTTTTTCTGGTAGCAACTTACCATGTCTAGGCCTAGGGTTGCCAGATTCCGAATTACAAAAAAGAACCGACATAAACATATCATCCAACATGTGTCAAAATACATAGCATTCGATTATAACAAATTCGATTAAATAACGTCCTTCAACTATCGAAATTTAGGAGGGGATCTACCCAAAATGTATACCATTTAGAATTTTAATTTGAGCAATAATATGAGGTCGCCAGGTTATATGTTTAGGTCTAAAAAACGGAATGATTCCACCTTATGGTAAAGAATATACAACTGTGAATTCAGTACATGAA